TTTTTTTTTTTATTTGAAGAAAAATATTTGCAAAACATTTTTGATACCTTTTCTGTTTGTAGCAGCAAAAAAAAAAGTGGCAAAAGGAATATCTGAAAAATTACAATGTATTTTTCTTCACTTTTATGTTAGAAAAAAAAAAAATAAAAAAACGGAACAAAATATGTTGTAACAGCAAAACGATGATAAGAAAGCTAAATGACCGCTTAATTGCATTTGCAATTTTTTTTTTTGCTTTTTTATTTGTTTGTTTATTAATTGTTTTTTTTGTTTTTTTTTTTTTGGTTTTTTTTCCTTCGATAAGGAACTTGAAGTGATTTTTTATTGACTTTTAATGACATCTATAAACGTGAATTAGAGCAGCATTAAAGTGTGCATCAGATTGTTCATTTATTCACTATGGTTGTTATATAGTAGAAGTTATAACCAGATTTTTTTTTTTGAAACTTAATCTTATTAAGCAGTTTCTATTCCCTTTTCAGCTGCAAAAAGAGCTACATCCCTTGATGCTTATTCGGGTATGCAACATGTTCAATTGGATTCTAATGTTCGAATGCATACAATGACATTACCACCATCATTGGAATGGCCCATCAATGACAAAGACAACAGCAATGGTAAAAACATAGGCGCTATTTACTGTTAAAAAGTTGTACACTGCTCTTTTTTTTTTTTTGGACCAAATATGCAGCTTAGTGCATTAGTTCAATGATGAAATGAAAAAAAAAAAAAAAAAACTATTACAGTTTATTTACATAGAGGTTATCAAAGTTATGGCACAAATTGGAAACAAAACACGTGATACACTGATTAAGGGGTAATTGTGTATCAGCTGTTGTTCTGTTGCAACTTGTTTATTATGGCTTTAGCGTTGAAGAATCTCAAAATTTTATACAATAGGAATGACAAAATTAACAAGAAATTAGTGTCCAGAGATCATAGGTTTTAACTAGAAATAGTAGTGAAAGTCATAATAATGATAAAAATTTGAACTTTCCCTTTTTATTGCTAATTATATTTAGACAAAAAAGTATGGACAATAACTGGTGCTAATGGTAATTTGGCTACCGTTGAGAATGCATCTGAAAAAATTGGCGATAAAAGTGTAAATGTTAAAACATTGTCCATTCAAGGAATGTTTATTGGTATGTTTGTTTATATGTATGAAAGCAGTTAACTATTTTGCATTCTTTTTTTTTTTTTTTAGGAATTTCGCTGTTTGGAAGTACAGTAAACAGTAATAAAATATAAGAAAAAAGAATTTTAGAAAACAGATTAACAATAAATATGTGGTAAATAACTCGAGGTTTTTTTTTTTTTTTTTTTTT